ATGTAGTGTCGAGTGGCACATTCGAGGTCAGGGATCCTAAAGTGACCTGAAATTTACAAACCTAGAAGTGAGGTATAGCCATAGCTATCAGCAGTTGGAAAGATACAGATTCGGGTTTGCAGCAAAGGTATGATGGGTAAAGAATATCAAAGAGTGAAGAAAATAGGGTGGTGTATGGTAGGATGTGGTGGGAAAGGTTGGATTAGTAGGGAGGTTGTGAAGATAAAAAAAAATTTGGGGGGGGGGGCGCTTTCCGCAAATTTTGACTAAATTCCTTGTGCTGCTCTAGCTCCCGTACCACCCAAAACACCATAGATCCACCTCTGTGCTTCACAGTAGGTAGCGTGCTGAGAGACGATCATGTGGGCGCTGTGCGCAGAGGAGACGTGGGCAGATCTGAGCTTGGAGAGAGGTGTCTGCCCAGCTGGCCGAGGGACTGGTACGGTAATGGCGGCTGCTAAGGATCTATGTGAGGGGAATGAGGTGCCTGCAGGGTGGGGGGTTCGTGTCGCCATATTGTCGCGCCGATCTGTTTGGCTGGGAAGCCGGCTTCCGGGCCAATCAGCATCCAGCCGGCCGAACAGAATGGAGTCGGCTTCCCGTGCAATCAAGAAGCCTTCCTGGCTTTCTGATTACCCCGGAAGGCGGCTCCATGCTACCGGAAGTACTGGTATCGGCGAGTACCGAAATATAAGTATCGGAAGTATCGACACTTGATACGGAAAAACCGGAATCGTCGGATCCCTACAGATAATCATCACAATGTACAGTCAGCAGGCCGAGGGGGGACCAGAGCTACAAGTCTGATGACAACCTACCTCATACCTGACACGAGAGCCCCCGGGAGATCCGGCTCAGTGCTTATTTCTAGTCCTTCCTGACACGGCTCCTCCTCTTCCTGTCACTCTGAACTGACCACTAAAGGCTGAAACTGCAGAAAACTGAAACAAGAAAGAAATGGCGGCAAATAATGTTTATTCTCCTCAGAATGGAGAGCGAGCACACGCCGTATGGAACTCCGGGAGGTGCAGAAAGAGGACCTGTCCCGTATGAGCACGGGAGCAAGCTGCCGCCTCTCCACCCTCCGGAGCCACATCTGCGCCGCCCACAATGATCTGCCATCGGGAGACAGAAAGGAAGATACAAGATGGCTGCTGTCTGGAGAACACTACATCCTGGTATTGGTGACTGCCTTCTGGGCACAGGTGAATTTGTAATGCTAGTAGAGATGGTGTCATCCACTCATGCAAGCTCCGCCCCTTAACCCCATAGTGACCAGTGACGTCCATAGTACATCACTGGCACCTGGCCGTTTAAAGATGTCGGGACTCTGTGTACAATTGTCGGCTTTACAATAGACGTGATCGGGCGACTCAGCTGCCGCCAGATTGCTTCTCCGGGCCGGTAAACGGGCCAACCCCCCCATCAGACGAGTTTTCCGGGCTCCGTTGCCCCTCCTACGGGCCCGGCTTCTCTGGCGTCGGGGGGAGATCGGCGAACCTCAGTTTTTTCCCGATCTCCTCCCCATACTATAGGACCGCGAGCAACGAGTATTACATCACTTCCGGGGCCAAGAACTGTCATTGGTCGGCTCCTGAAGCCCAGCAATAAGCTATTGAAGTGCAGTCTGCACCCCAATAGCTTATTTCCAGTGTAAAGGTGACACTAGGGGTCTCTTGGACTCCCAGCGCCACCTTAAAGAGGACCTGTCACCGCCAATATGCTATCACATAGGGGGATTCTAAACCCCCCCCCATGTGATAGCAATTAAAGTAAAATTTAAAAAATATATGTTTTTTAAAATTAATATTAAATGAAATAAATGTTAAAATAATTAACGACGATCGCGCTACACATGTTGGGTATCGCCGCGCACTCCGGAGTGAAAGCACTAATTGTAGGGCCAGTATTTTTGGGTATCTCTAAACCGATGACCTGTAGGGGGAGGCTTTTAAAGCGTCGTCTATGGACTTCATGGGGGTACTGGATTCGGTCGCCGTTTCCACGGACGCACAAAATGTTTAACCCGGGCATGTTGGGTATCTATTTACTCGTCGTCACCTCATCTTTTATTTTAAAAATGGGGGTTTTATTGTGTTTTGGGACATTTAAGTGCATTTTTTACAAAAGGTTGGGGTTTGATAACACGTTGCGCTAATATCGGGCAACGTAAACAATTTTAACCTGCCGCCGTCTCGGCTTTCAGAAGATATATCACGTTTGGGGGGGTTTGAATTCATTTTCAGGCCTAAAATGTGGATTATAACATGGGTGGAAAAAAGGCCTTGGTCACGAAGGGGTTAAATTGGTAACGAGGGATAAATATATATATAATGAAAGGGACAGTAAAGGGTTAATTTACACCAACTATAGAGAGGAAAGGGAATATATATATATATATACATGCATGGTTACTACGGTATACAGAGACTATAGACAGGAAAGGGTTAATTTATACTCACCATGAAGGGTTAATGTACACAGACTGTAGGGACAGGACAGTGAGGGGTTAATGCACACTATGGAGGGGACAGTGAGGGGTTAATGAACAGTGAATGGCGCCCACAGTGTCCTGTGAGGAGTTCAGCGCCTCATAGTCAGTCAGACCTCTCTCTCACTCTCCTCAGACGCTGAGGTGAGCTCTTCTCATAGAGCACCGCCCCCGCGCTCTGTGTTCCTTCACAAAAGTGTCCCCAGTTCGGGGATATGGTTGGGAGGCTGGCGGCCATTTTGTTGGAGAACACGTAACCTTAAAAGTAAGGTGCCGGACCTCGGAAACATGGCTCCGTTCTAGGATACAAGTGTGATACTAGAGGTCGCAGTCGGGCCGCTCGGTGATTGGCTGAGGAAGGTCGCGTGACCCGATGCCTGTGCTTCTGACTGAGCTGAGCAGCGTGAGGAGATTCCCGCCGAAGGACTGTACCAACTTTATTCATGGAGGGGGGGGGGAGGGTCTGGCAATACCTATACCACAGTGACAGCGCTCGGGCTATACCATTTGTGATATTTTGCCGCACGGGCTTTACTACCTGCGGCGTGTCTATTGCGCTCAAAGATTCCCGCTGTGAGAAAGTACCCACTCCAGAAACCATTTCCCCCCCCCCGCCGCAGGGGCTGTACCATCTACAGTGTGAGTAGCTGCGCTGGGATATTCCTACCGGTGTACAAGAGCTCCGCCCCCTTACTCAGCCTTAACCCCGCCCCCTTATATTGCAGGGCCTGTGGCTCTAAAATGCCAGCTGGTACTGACAGGGAAGTTGGTGACCAATTACAAATGGTGGCAGAGATGGTTCTTGTCTCTATATTGCCGACATTTTATATAGGACTGAGTGTCACAGTGCATTGTCCTCACTACCACAAGACCACGGGAGTGACTTTCTCTTACCTATGCCATACATGGGCAGTGTTGGGACCATGTGTAAAACCCTCTGAGGGGCTGGCGATAGGATCTAATAGACCCCCAATGTCTTCTTAAAGAGGACCTGTCACAGGGGGGGCATTGAGCCTCCTATGTCAGAGCAATAAAGTTAAGTTTTAAAAAAAAAGGTAAATAAATGTAAAAACACCCCCAAAAAATGTAATCCTCGATGATGGGGAATGGGACAATCTTTGGGACTACCCATTGCTTGATCTTGTTATTATCTACAGCCCGACTCGTGAGAAGACTACCAATCGCCAACCTGGCATAGCTGCACACAACCGCCTGTGTCCTGACTATGCCAGAGAGGACCTCAGTGGCGTGAACACTTCATTCTACAGCTTTGGTTTTGGGCCGAAAGTGGTAAAGCGGACCTTGCAAGAGAAAGTAGGGTCCACCGATTACCTTGGGGCCCCCTTTTCCCTTCACAAATCACATGACATATCAAAATATTCCCTACGATCCTCCCGAGACCTCCTGATCTCTGGCTCCTTCGTCACCTCGCTCCCATGCTGGCCTCCAGGACTTCCCCAGCGCCTCACCCATCTTCTGGAACTCCCAGAGCGTTTTCAGAATACTCGTTGAGTTTGCCACATGCTGAATATTGTTACAATGCAGCTGTACAGAAGCTCCGTCAGTCTTTGTGTTTTGCAGTCTAGCGCCGTCTGGTAGAAATCTCCAACTTGCAAGTACCCGGCCGTGAGGTACTTGGAGATTTCGATGAGTTGGTGCTTTCGATAGAATGCCGGCGGCATACCTTATCCTGCCGGGTGAAACGTCCCCTCCTCTCTCTGTTGGCGTCCATCACCGAGATGGCCGCCGGCAGGTATCAAAAGGATAACCGCGCGATAACGTCAAGGCGGGGTTGTCACCCGATATCCGCTCCGGGTGACACCCGGCCTCGGGACGCCCCTGGATGGATCTAGTAAGAGGAACCCACCAGAGAGATGTCCCCGTCCTCTGTATTCCCGGAATTCCACAAAGGATGGTCACACCGTCCCCCATCATGATGAGTGGAAGCATTTTTGTCCCCAGTCTGGCCCTGCAGGTACCTCAAATCTGCCAAGAAGACACTACAAGATTGTCTTCTCGTGAGATTTGGGATCCTCATCATTCCCAGAATCTCACCAGAGGCACTGCGCCGTCACCCTTGCCTCAAAACTATAGATTAGAGAGGAGAAAAAGTTGGAAGGCCTTTAGAAGTGCTGGAGAGCGATCATCAGTCCCGGGACTAACGTTTGAAATGGAGGTTGAAGTTCTCATATTCCCCACCAGGAGGAGATCTCACCAAGCGGAATCTACGGACATGCAACAACGTAAGAATGAAAACAGGAACTGATGTGAAACAGACAGGAAGTTACGGGTGAGAGTTCTGTTTCTAGAACGTAGAGAGGAGACATTGCTGGAACTGGAAGCAGAGGAGGTAATAAGATATTATTTTATATTTACACCCAGTAGCCCCCCCCCCCGTCATGTCCGTCCTCCATAGTCTCTGTTATGGTTTATAGTAGTAGAATATTGTACCGTGTCAGCCAACGATTATTGCAGAAAGTTGGAGTTTGTGATTCCGCCACCAGACAAGGGAGAGGTGAGCTGTGCCGGGAATTCTGGGACATGATCCAGGAACAGACAAGGGGCGTGTCTGGGTGGTGACGGTATCATTATGTGTGTCAGGTTCCTATAAGGTGTCAGGATGTCTCTGTCTATTTCTCCATGGATGAGTGCGAGTATCTAGGAGGACACCGGGATCTCTACAAGGACGTGGTGATGGAGAATGCCCCGCCCCTCACATCACCGGGTAAGAGGAGAGAGCAGTACGGAGGCTCCGCCTACGTCCCCCATCATCTGATACACACATAGAAACAATGTATTCAGTCAGTGTGTGTGTTTCCTACAGATGGATCCAGTAAGAGGAACCCACCAGAGAGATGTCCCCGTCCTCTGTATTCCTGGGATCCCACCCAGGAAGATCTCACCCTCCCCCACCATGATCAGGTAGGTGGATGCTGAACATTTATTAATCAGTTGAGTCTTTTTTGAGCTGATTTGTAAACATTTCATTTCTTTTTCAGAGAGGAGACCTGCAGAATTATAATATTATTATTAAAAAGGAAATAAAGGATGAGTATGACGAGGGGGATGTTAGCATTACGATGGAGCCACCAGAGACATGTCCCCGTCCTCTGTATTCCTGGGATTCCACCCAGGAAGATCTCGCCATCCCCCACCATGATCAGGTCGGTGGAAGAAAGTATCCGGAACGCCAAAGTGACTCCACACCGTGTGACATTATATTGATTGTTACCTTTGAGTGCTCGGGGGGTTGAAGATTTGATATCATTCTGTTGTTTCAGGGTGAGGACAGGATGGATATTAAAGCGGAAGAGGAAGACATGTACGAGACGGGTGGTCAGGAGGAGGCCGGGGTGACGAACAATAAAAAGAAAAAAGCGTCTCTAGATATTGGGACAGGTGAGTGATAAAATATGCTGCAACAAAGTCACGTTTCAGCAAGTAACCGGTGTGGGTGCTGAAAGTGAATCAGGAGATCTTCACAGAAGTCCCCAGGCATGTCCTGACCCCCTGAAACAAGCATTGCTTCTCCTTTTGTTCAATTTGTGCTGCACTCCTTTCCTTGTGCATGCCATGTAGGGTAGGCCTGGAGGTGTATGAGTTCCTTTGGAACATATGTGGTTACATTTCTGGGGAATCTTAGGGTTAACCCTAAGGTCATGTCCCCAACAAATGAGGAGGAGATATTGTACACCATATGAAGCTCCATCTCCATTCCTCAATATAACGTCATGTCCCCAACAAATGAGGAGGAGATACTGGACACCATATGAAGGTCCATCTCCATCCCTCAATATAACGTCATGTCCCCAACAAATGAGGAGGAGATACTGGACACCATATGAAGGTCCATCTCCATCCCTCAATATAACGTCATGTCCCCAACAAATGAGGAGGAGATACTGGACACCATATGAAGGTCCATCTCCATCCCTCAATATAACGTCATGTCCCCAACAAATGAGGAGGAGATACTGGACACCATATGAAGGTCCATCTCCATCCCTCAATATAACGTCATGTCCCCAACAAATGAGGAGGAGATACTGGACACCATATGAAGGTCCATCTCCATCCCTCAATATAACGTCATGTCCCCAACAAATGAGGAGGAGATACTGGACACCATATGAAGGTCCATCTCCATCCCTCAATATAACGTCATGTCCCCAACAAATGAGGAGGAGATACTGGACACCATATGAAGGTCCATCTCCATCCCTCAATATAACGTCATGTCCCCAACAAATGAGGAGGAGATACTGGACACCATATGAAGGTCCATCTCCATCCCTCAATATAACGTCATGTCCCCAACAAATGAGGAGGAGATACTGGACACCATATGAAGGTCCATCTCCATCCCTCAATATAACGTCATGTCCCCAACAAATGAGGAGGAGATACTGGACACCATATGAAGGTCCATCTCCATCCCTCAATATAACGTCATGTCCCCAACAAATGAGGAGGAGATACTGGACACCATATGAAGGTCCATCTCCATCCCTCAATATAACGTCATGTCCCCAACAAATGAGGAGGAGATACTGGACACCATATGAAGGTCCATCTCCATCCCTCAATATAACGTCATGTCCCCAACAAATGAGGAGGAGATACTGGACACCATATGAAGGTCCATCTCCATCCCTCAATATAACGTCATGTCCCCAACAAATGAGGAGGAGATACTGGACACCATATGAAGGTCCATCTCCATCCCTCAATATAACGTCATGTCCCCAACAAATGAGGAGGAGATACTGGACACCATATGAAGGTCCATCTCCATCCCTCAATATAACGTCATGTCCCCAACAAATGAGGAGGAGATACTGGACACCATATGAAGGTCCATCTCCATCCCTCAATATAACGTCATGTCCCCAACAAATGAGGAGGAGATACTGGACACCATATGAAGGTCCATCTCCATCCCTCAATATAACGTCATGTCCCCAACAAATGAGGAGGAGATACTGGACACCATATGAAGGTCCATCTCCATCCCTCAATATAACGTCATGTCCCCAACAAATGAGGAGGAGATACTGGACACCATATGAAGGTCCATCTCCATCCCTCAATATAACGTCATGTCCCCAACAAATGAGGAGGAGATACTGGACACCATATGAAGGTCCATCTCCATCCCTCAATATAACGTCATGTCCCCAACAAATGAGGAGGAGATACTGGACACCATATGAAGGTCCATCTCCATCCCTCAATATAACGTCATGTCCCCAACAAATGAGGAGGAGATACTGTACACCATATGGAAGGTCCATCTCCATTCCTCAATATAACGTCATGTGACCAACACATGAGGTGGCGATGACTCCGTGATTTTATGATTCATAAAATGCTTCTTCTCCACAGATGGACGATATGTCTGGGATACCTCAGGAGAAAATTCTCTTTGCTCTTTGGGTTTTATCACAGAGGACAATGGCATTGTAAAGTATTCTGTAGGAGAATCATCTCTTGTGAAACAAGGGGAACTGACCAGCAAGCGTCCATTTCCGTGCCCAGAGTGCGGGAGAAGTTTCAGTGTGAAAGGGAACTGTATTGTGCACCAGAGAACTCACACGGGCGAGCGTCCGTTCCCATGTTCAGAGTGCGGAAAAAGTTTTGCTCGGAAAAGTGTACTTATTGAACACCAGAGAATTCACATGGGCGAGCGTCCGTTTTCATGCGCAGAGTGTGGAAAATGCTTCACTCAGAAAGGAGATCTTCTTACGCACCAGAGAAGTCATACGGGCGAGCGTCCTTTTTCATGTGCAGAGTGCGGTAAATGTTTCACGCGGAAAGAAAGGCTTCTTACACACCAAAGAAGTCATACGGGTGAGCGTCCTTTTTCATGTTCAGAATGTGGGAAAAGTTTCACTCAGAAAGAAAACCTTATTACGCATCAGAGAAAACACACGGGCGAGCGCCCTTTTTCATGCACAGAGTGCGGCAAATGCTTCACTCGGAAAGAAAGGCTTCTTACACACCAAAGAAGTCATACGGGCGAGCGTCCTTTTTCATGTTCAGAGTGTGGGAAGACTTTCACGCAGAAAGAAAACCTCCTTACGCATCAGAGAAGTCACAGGGGTGAGCGTCCTTTTTCATGTTCAGAGTGCGGGAAAAGTTTCACTCGGAAAGACTCCCTTCTTATGCACCAGAAAAGCCACAAAGGAGAGCGTCCTTTTTAATGTTGAGGGTGCGGAAAATGTTTCACTTGGAAAAGAAATCCTCAACACAAGTACAGAAGTCACACGGGAAGCACCCTTTGACCTGTTCTTTGAGGTTGGTGGCAAAGTACGGTGGCATTCCGCCAACGTTTCCATCTGTAGAACAATTTTATGATTCAATAAATAACAGGAAATTCTGTTACCCGTGAATTTGGGGGTAGAGTCCCTTCTTGGAGCACATCTAAAATACTCCCCATGGTATCAGTCCTCTAATGGTTACCTCTTGTATATTAAGAACAGATATATAATGCCGCACTGCACGTCTCATCGAAGGGGTGGAGGGCTTATTTTGTGTTTTCGGCGGATCGGAATGTTTTCAGAAGGATTCCAGGCGGAGACGTCAAATATTTCTCTTTCAAAGTCTTTTTTTATAGTTTTCAATAAAATATAATACAAAAGTTTCCAGCGTTTGGTGTTGTGAGTGAAGTATTTTATATGCACATGACAAAAACTGTAAAGAGGGGAATAATAAAAGAGAGGCAGAGGTGTGGGGTGCATGAAGACGGGAGTGTGGCTGGAAGACATGGAAGGAAACGGGACAGGAGTGTGACTGGAAAGCATGGAAGGAAGGGGGATTGGCGTGTGGTAGATAGACATGGAAGGAGGATGGGAGTCTGCCTGAGAGGCATGGAAGTAAGGAGGATGGGAGTCAGCCTGGGAGAAATGGAGGGAGGATGGGAGTGTTGTTGAGAGATATGGAAGAAAGGAGGGTGGGAGTCTGCCTGGGGGAAATGGAAGGAAGGAGAATGGGAGTGTGGTTGAGAGACATGGAAGAAAGGAGGATGGGACTGTGATTGAGGGACATGGAAGGAGGATGGGAGTGTGGTTGAGAGACATGGA